GTTTGACGAAGCAGTAAAGGAGGAGAAATGGAGATCAACCATGGATGCCGAAATGAGATCAATTGAGAAGAATGAAACATGGGATCTTATTGAGCTTCCTAAAGGAGCTAAAAGAATAGGAGTCAAATGGGTGTTAAAACAAAGTTGAATGAGCTCGGAGAGGTGGATAAACACAAGGCTCGCTTGGTCGTAAAAAGGTATGCTCAGGAATACGAAGCTGATTATGAAGAAGTATATGCTCCCGTAGCTCGCATGGACACGATTTGGATGATTTTAGCACTTGCAGCACAAAGAAGATGGTGTGTTTTTCAGCTGGACGTGAAATCAGCTTTCCTTCACGGGAAGTTAATTGAGAACGTGTACGTGGAGCAGCCAAGAGGTTATGAAATAAAGAATGAGGAACATAAGGTGTATAAGCTCAACAAAGCTTTGTACGGACTCAAGCAGGCACCACGAGCATGGTTCAGCCGGATTGAATCATATTTTAGAAAGGAAGGTTTTGGGAAGGAGGACAGCGAGCAAACCTTGTTTACGAAAGTCAACAAACAAGGTAAACATTTAATCATTAGCTTGTATGTTGATGATTTAATTTATACCGGAGCTGACGAGAATGTGATGATTGAATTCAAAGAGTCCATGATGAAGGAATTTGATATGACGGACTTGGGTAAGATGAAGTATTTTCTTGGTATTGAGGTAGTTTAATTTGATGGTGGTATATTCATCAGTCAGGCGAAGTATGTGATGGAAGTGTTGAGACGTTTTAGAGTGGAGCATAGCAATTCTGTTGAAAATCCAATGGTTTTAGGATTTAAAATCTCCAAAGATGAAAATGGTATTGAGATGGATGGTTCATTCTTCAAACAGCTGATTGGGAGCATGATGTACTTGACCGCTACGAGACCAGATATAATGTATGCAGTAAGCTTATTAAGCAGGTATATGTCAAGGCCTACAGAACTTCATAATTCGGCAGCCAAGAGAATTCTACGTTACTTGCAAGGTACAACAACGTTCGACATTCTTTACAGAAGGGGAGGAAGTCATGAGTTGATTGGCTTTACTGACAGCGATTATGTCGGATCAGTGGAAGATAGAAGAAGCACCTCGGGCTATGTTTTTATGCTAAGTGGAGCAGCCATGACTTGGTCTTCTCGAAAGCAACCAATCGTAACACTAAGCACAACCAAAGCTGAATTTATTGCAGCTGCAGGAAGTTGTTGTCAAGCAATATGGATGCAAAGGATGCCAAAGAAGATTGGCTACATGGGCAGTGAGAGTACTGTCATCTTTTGTGACAATAGCTCAATAATTAAGTTGGCGAGAAATCTGGTGATGCACGGCAGGAGCAAGCACATTGATGTGCGCTACCATTTCTTACGAGAGCTAGTGAATGATGGAGTTGTGCAGCTTCAGTTCTGTGGTACAAGGCAGCAGATAGCCGACATTTTCACCAAACCGCTCAAATTTGAGCTATCTTGGGAGCTAAGAAGGAGGCTTGGAGTGTGTGAACTACCACATGTTAACTAGCTACAAATACAGTCTAGTTCAAGGGAGGAAATGATAAGTCTTTAGTCAAATAAGAGACTTAATTTTTAGGATAGTTTGTTGAATTGATTTTGTCAAGTTTGTTTCCTTATTTTTAGCTAGAAGTGAGTTGTAGTTTGTTACTGCACGTTCATTTTGTTCCCTATTTATTTTACTGCATTTCACAATGAATAAACAAGTCATTCCCAGTACTGTTAGTTATTTTCTATTGAATTCTTATTGCGTCTAACACATAAATCAACTTTTTATTAAGTGAAATGATCTTTATTAATTGAAAATTAATAGGAAACCAGTGTGTGGTGTGGAATGTCGATATGAGATCAATTTGGTTTTGAAATTTAAATAAAATAGAAAATATTTAAATTTAATTATAAAAAATGAAAATTTTAAATAGTAGTAAAAAAATAAATATTTATTATTAATTAAACTAATCATTTTTTTAAATAAATCAATTATTATTTAATTAAATCAATCAATAATTAAATGTTAAGAAAAATGACAAAAATAGAAAAGGAAAATAATAAAATAATAAGAAAAATAAAATAGGAAAAAGACAAAATTGTCTAATAAAAATAGATTATTTTTAAAAGAGAAAATAAAATGGTTTTAATATTTTATTCCTTATAAAAATATATTTTAATCGATGATATATTTTAAAATGTAATAAAAATGTAAATCAGAAAAACAAAATTATTTTACTAATAAAATTTATTATTTGTAAAATAAATATACAAAAAATATAATAATACGTGCGTTCGCACGAGTTCTAGTGTGGACCACATATATGTTATGAATTTATCATTAGAATTCAAATAAAATATAAAATATCATAATATTATTAGGAAAAAATAAAAAATAAAAAATAGACGGGAAGATAATTGTATAAGTTTTAAAAAAACAAATATATATCTAATAAAAACCAATATTGATTTTTAGATAAAAATCAATAGAAAAATAATTTTACATGACACTCGTGTGTTACTTGTGCATTCGTACTGATTTTAGTATGATTGTCGTACTCACATAATATCGATGTGTTTCTTATGTGTTCGCACGAGTACGGATGTGAACTGCTGCTATATCACTAATTTATCATGAGAATTTAAAAAAATTAAAAAATTATTTTAATAAAAAAGAAGAAAAATAGACTAAAAAAATTGTATACGATTTTAAAAACTTATATTATTAAGAAAAACTATTATAAAATGAAAGTTTTCCTATTAAATTTTTCTTTCAAACCATTTAAAAAGTTCATATTAAAGTCTTCTAAAGAATCCCATGTAAGTTATATAAATTACAAAAGTGTCTCTATTTGTTTGATTAATAATTATTTCCCTTTCAATTATTATTTATTAAAAATAATAAATGGTCACAAATCAAATCTTGTACCTTCTTAATAATTCTTCGGGGTAAGCTTTCTGAGATTTGTTGTTTTGATTTTATGTGAAAGAGTTTTCCAATTTTCATCATGTATTAGTTTGGATAATGTTTATAAAAAGACTTTTTTTAACATATACTTAAATTAGCATTTCAATACAGTTATAGTAAAAATAAATAACATTCAAAAACTATTTTCAACTAATTTCAATAAGAATCTCAATAGAACTTCAATGAACACGTAATTTAGATAATAACACAACACATGCATCGAATCTTGTCAAATCTATCTTTATAATGCTTACTGAAGCATGTTCTTTAATTAATGATAAACTACAAATAAAGTCCCAAAACTCACTATTTCCTCCATAAAACATAAAACTCACTAAAGTGTTATTGTATAAGTTGCACCATAAATATCGTCGGATCGGTGATAAACACTTAACTCTGAGATTATGTACTCGTTTGATGTCACTGAATTGGATACAGTGCCGAATTTGTTAACATGTAGAGACTTCTCTTGAATGTCCGGTATCGTTCACTTTGCCGCCAACATGAGAACGATGTCAACACTGTGACTTTTATATCACTAACAGAATCGTGTGGCATCCGATAATGTTCATTCGGGTAGAGGTATCGTTGTGAGTTCTAGGATCGTCAAGTAGATGGAACAATACCTTCACAGCAACAAAGAAAGATTGCACCTGAAAAGTGAAAACCACTAAGATGCGTTCCAAACATAGGCATTGAAGGTGGACAAATTATGTGAGCATATTGTAGGAAAAATCCAGTCAGACGAGCCTTTCAAAGCAAAATGGTGCAACTAACTTTTTACTGTAACACATACCTGTATTGTCAAAATTCCCTGTAATGCCAGCTTGAGTATAAATTGGAACTTCTGGATACATTGATTTCCACTCTTTGCCCCTCCAAATCAATACTTGTTCATTATCAAAAGACAATAGCACACAGGGAACCAAATCCTTCCAAATCAAGGGGATCAAATTGCATGCAACATAATGCTCCTAAATAATATTGCAGCAAATTAAGAAAATGTACACGACGCATACTGATATACAGTATACATCACACACGACATGTATTATTATGTTCTATGGAAAAGACTTATCAGACACATTTAGCATAGCCAGAGAGATAAAATAGTGAAAAATTAAGCTGATGAATCCTCGTTCGTAAGCTTCATGTGAACTTTGATTGTGCCAAACTAATCAACCGCAGAACATCCCTTGATGAAGAGGTATTGAATAGAGAACAAACACTTGAATTGAACATAATTTACAAAAATGAAGTTTAAAATAATTAATAAATAAAATTAGGGCCCGAAATGAGTTGAGTCGAGTCGAACTCGCCTCGGCTCAGTTCGACTCGTTAAGGATTAGCCGAGTTCGAGTTCATCACGAACTTTTTTTAGCTCAAACTCGACTCGTTAAGAATTGGCCGAGTTCGAGTTTGAGTTCATCACAAACTTTTTTCCAGCTCAAACTCGACTTGTTAGAACAATCTTATTTAAAACAATCTTATTTATCCTTATTGTATTCACAAGAAGTATAGATAATATTTCTAACTTTTATATAATATAAGTTTCATCTCAAAATAATATTTATAATTCAAGATATTATCATCAAAAGTAGGTAATATGAGCAAATAATGAAACGTTATAACTTAAGTTTGTAACATATATTTTACTATGTTGAATCTGGATTTTTTTTAATCAATAGAATTGTAAATTATTTTATCATCTTTCAAATTATATAAATAAATATGAAAACTAAGTATTGACGTCTTCATGAAACTTATATATCGAGTCAGTTCATGAATCAAATGAATCGAACTATACATAGCTCAAGTTCAACTCATTTACTTTACAAACTTAATTTTGAGCTCAAGTTTGATTCATTTGGTTCATGAACCAAGTCCAATGAATTAATTACCGAATCAAATGTTGAACTATTTTCGAGTTGGTTCGGTTCATTGTTAGTCCTAAATAAATATATAATTGGTTTGTACCCATCAAAGAAATTTTCCCTGTCCCACAACTGAAAGAGACCAACTTCTCAGCAAAACAGCAAACCAACACGAGCTCCATGAACCATTGAAGAATAAACTGGAATCCTCGAAGCCCAAGGTTCATCTTCCTTATTTGTTTGTTTACAACTTTCACTCAAAACCCAATTACTCTCACATCCAATTACCATTTTCGAAACAACGCCGACTCTAACTTGACTCTCCTTTACCTCCGCAAACACCATAATTTGATGTTGCAGACTAACATCATCATGGTTTTCATTTCCAGCTGCAGGATTTGATATCAAAACCGCCAAAACATTTTCCATAATTTAACTCAGTTGCCTCTGTGTGAGTCGTAACTGCGGCAAGTTTTTTAATCAAATTTCCAAGCGTAAACGGTATTGCAATACTTGAAGATATTTCTTCCATTCACTTTTACTTTTCCTTTTAGCAATGACCTAATTCCCTACAAACGAATGCAAAATGAGAATTTCCCCAAATTAGATAACATTCTTAAAAAAATAAAACAGAATTGCCCCAAATATATTAAAAGTAATGTTTTTTAAAAGAGTCTGTTATAAGTTCGAAAGACCAAGTCTCGTTCACCATCAGGCGAGAAGAGTTGTAGTTCAAAAAAATATGAATTTAGAACATGTTAACTTTCTAAGAAATAAATAATACTCAACTGAAGTCAATACTCAACATGTTAACTTTGTAAGAAATTAACAATACTTAACTTTCTAACCTTGTCATAATATACCTGCAACATTAACACAAAACCAACTCATGCATTTATCAGAATATGAACATCATTACACAAGCATGCTATGATGAAAGAGACCACATACCAGACTGGTTGCAGTAATTAATACGTATATACCCAACATACTTAATATTAGTCAAAAATGTTTTGAGAACCAGTGCCACCTGCTTGCCAACAATACAAATCTCTGAAATTCCACAACCAGAACAAAAAGATAACTGCAAATCAACTTCTTCAGCCACCCCTGTTGCAAATTCACTCGCAACGAAATTAGCGGGAGAAGAATCAGAAGTTGAGGATGAAGTTATTCTTTGTCCATGAATCTCTTCGGCAAGAGATGTATCTCCTTCAACAAAGAAAAGAGAATATATGTTCGAATTTGGTAGCGCGTCGGGTGCATCTGTCTCCAACAAAATCCTATTAAAAGAGACCTAAATAGAATAGAATATAAGAGTGTCATATATTTATCATCAAAAAGAAGACAAGACAAAAGCAATTTAGTAGAAATAAATTAAAACTGGCCTTATATTTAAATGACAAAAAATTTAGAGCATATCCAATTGATGTAGCCATTGTTGTTGTATTAACGAAAATCTTAAAATGGAAAGTTCACGTACAAAGTATGGACAAAACATATTTACATGTTCCACAACAACCTGTGTTAATGTTAGACATCAGTCTTGTACTATCCGGATCTCACCGGTTCCATCTTCGCCAAATGCAGTTGTAACTTTCCCTGTTCAAAATCACTTAGAAATAAATACTAACAAAGAAGGAAAAACTGTGAACAAAATTTAATTGAAATGGATTCAGAACCTCTCTCTGGTGTTCGGCCTCCATGAATCAATCAAGCTTGAGAGAATCATCGGTCTCCGTGAAGCTCTGTATGTACAATGGATTGTTCTGTAGCAGCTGCTCCAACCATTTATCTCTGACCATTCCAAAAGAACTATTAAAGCTGTAAAATATTGTATCACAAAGACCGACAAAACCAATCAACCATAAAGAACGACAAAAAAAAAGGAAGATAACCGATGAATATATTGCAAATAGAAAATTAGCAGAACTCAGACAAATCAATACATACCTTGTGCTTGTTTTTACTTGAGCCGACTCCATATTTCTCAGACATACCATCAATGCAAACCCTAAGCCATGGAAGCGTTGGATCTAGGAAAAATGGTCATGTTAATGACAAAACAACGACTGTTTGTTTAATACAAAACAAATGCATCAGATCCTTCGTAGAAATCAACAATGCATTTACATTGGTGGATTCCATAACATTTACATAGAAGTGATATATTCCATAGCTTGAGCAATTAAACCATAGCATTTACGTTTACACATTCCAAACCCAAAACAATGAGAAACAACATTACTCAGTCAAACTAAAATTTCAACTTAAAAAGCGCATTCTCATTATACCAAACACACAAATAAAAAAGAATAAACAAAAATACCTTGGAGACATTGGCCATTTCGCCTACGTTCTTCCGGCTCCCTTCATCGGTTTCTTCTGCAAGATCCAAGCGAGAAATCAATGATGGAAAACCAAAACCCTAACCACAAAATCATCATATCTACCACAACCACAAAACCCTAACCACAAAATCATCGTATCAACCACAACCAAAAAAATCCTACCCACAAAATCACCCTATCAACTACAAAAACCCTAACCACAAAATCAAAATCCTAACTTTAAACAGAAAACCAAAAAAATGTTATAAATTCCAAGAAATTTAAAAAACGAATATATCTAACAAAAACCAATATTGATTTTCTTTTTAGATGAAAATCAATAGAAAAATAATTTTACATGACACTCGTGTGTTATCCATGCGTTCATACTGATTTTGGTATGATTATCATGCACTCACATAATATTGATGTGTTACTTGTGTGTTCGCACGAGTACTGATGTGGAACACAAATATGTCACCGGTTTATCATGAGAATTTAAAAAAAATCTATTATCTATTATCAATCTATTAAAAGTAAAGTACCTGGAAATTCCAAGTCTAACCTTTTGATTAGATGTTATAACTTTTCTTATTCCAAGGGTATAATAGACTAATCAACACTATGATGTTACCATATTCATTTGACATTTAATTTTGCTGACATGTCAATATATCATAATTTTACACTATTTTTAATTTATTTTATTTATATTTGAATTTTATTTATATTTGAATTCCAATTCCAATGTTTCATTCACGGTTAATTTATTTATATTTGAATTCCAATGTTTTTTTTGGACAGAATTTGAATTCTAATGTTTGACTCACGTTTAATGAGGAAGGAATTTGAATGGCCAAATTAGATGTATTATAATTAAATGGAATATTATTCATTGCATGATTTAAAAATACTCACTATTTATCATTACACTACAAGATTAAATGTATATTATTGGAATTAGAATGGATTATTTTGATATTCCAAGATATCACAACTTCCCATGCATTCTAAACCCTATATATAGTCATTCTAAACCCTTACTCTTTCCCTCCTCAATCTTTTTCATTTTCCATTATTTTCAAAAGGTTACGTATTATTTTCCAATTCTTCTTCATTCCCATATTTTGATTCTCTGTGTCCATTTTAATACAGATTTTGTAACAGGTCTAAATAGTAACATCAATGGCGCGACCGATTGAAGCTGTGAAAGACATCAACGACTCAAAAGATTTGTGGAAGATTGCTGTTCGTTGTAAACATATGTGGACTGTGACAAGTTCATCCAACAAACAACACTTGGAACTCATTTTGGTTGATTCAAATGTATAAATATTATGGTTTTTTTGTTAATATATGATGTTGGAGGTTTAAATTAATCGTTCTAATTTCCCACGGTTAATTTTACATTTTGCAGCTGGATATGATTCAAGCCATTGTCCCACCGCCTTTGGTGTCAAGATACTTGGCTGAACTTGCTATTTGAGGGTCATACATAATGCAGAATTTCAAAGTCTCGACTAATGATTTCTCATTCAAATCAAGTACTCATGGTTTCAAGTTGGTCTTTTGTGGTTCAACTTTTATTAGGAAAACAGAATTACCAGACATTCCTGTAAATTTTTTAAACATTATTGGGTTGGACACCATTGTTGATGAAAAGTTTCAGTCTAATTTGTTGGTTGGTACGTTTATTCATATCTTTATATTACCTTATTTCGTTGATTCCTTGGATGTTTGATAACTTTTGAAATTTGATCTTGCTTAGATGTTGTTGGAGGAGTTACTGAGATTGTGCAAACTTAAATCAATGCTGATAATAACAAAAGCAAGGTTGTGTTTATAATAACCGATATGAGGTATGGTTATAGTTTTTTTTACATACTGTGAAATTTTATTCTTTGACTTCATTTTTATTGGATCTGTTTTCCTGGCAGCAAATCTTTCGTTCAGTGTACTTTATGGGGACAGCTGGCTTTGCAGTTTTATGAATATTACAAGACTCATAATGAAGAAGGAAATGTTGTTGTTCTATTGCAGAATGCAAGGATAAAGGGCGCCCAAGGTAGTGTTAATTGGGATGCATAATATTTATTTACTGATGTATTAAATTGATTACAAATTAAATCATCTCCATTGAAGTAATATGTGGATTGATCACGTGCTTACGCTATTGTTTTTTTATATATCAAAGGTGGTTTCCCTTTGAATGTATCCAACGCATGGAATGGCACTAAGTTAACTATCAATGATGTTAGCATCGTTGAAATTAGTAAGCTGAAAGAAAGGTAGTTAATTTTTTGTTGGTCAAATCCTGTTCCTGTATACAATTTTGATATCCATTATAACCGCTAATAACATTTTATGTATTGTTTTTTTCACTGTGTTATACATCACAGTCTTCAAAATGATTTGCCAAAGTTATCGCAGTCTACCTTGCAAGTTGAAACCACCCAAAACTCACATTATACTGAATTTGATAAGTTTATATGGAAGGCAGAAATTCTTAGTCTGGCTGAAATCTCAAGTCTTCAATATGTAAGCTTAAATTAAGTAAATATTTTATTTATCTCATAACTTTGTATATGATATATTTATTTCGCATTCTTTATTCCATAGGAGACAACTTGTGTGACCGTTGCGACATTAGACAAATTTGAGGCTGGCCAGGCGGGGTGGTATTACGATGGTTGTGGTGTCTGTACTAAAAGTGTGTCTCTGAAGGAAGAAAATTTGAAGTGTTATGCGAATCATATAACGACTGAAACCGTACCGAGGTGTGAGTTAAAACATTATGTTCTGTACCTGTTTGAATAATGTAGTCCATTGTTGTTCACTATGTAATATTGTTTAATTACCTGCTTTAATTCTTATAGATACAAGCTTGAGATTATGGGAATTGATGGGAAATTCAAGGCCCGATTCATCTTTTGGGACAGCGACTGTGTGAAATTAATCGGAAAGTCTGCTTTGCAAATTAAGACTGAATTGATAGAGGTATTATTCATTTGAATCATTTCTCCAACCGTGGATTTTAGTTACAATTTGACATTGTCCATTACATGTTGCACTTTTATTATTTTAGTTATAATTTTATCATTTCTCCAACTGTTAATCAATTTTAGCTATTAATTTTATATTTCCTTTGGATGAATTAATTTAGGAAGGTGAAGACAATCCTTGGGAATTCCCATATGAACTTGATGCTTTATTGAAAAAGGAATTAGCTATTAGAGCTGTTTTTCAGCCAAAGTTTGGAAGACTCTCAGTTATTGGGTTCAAAGACGATGAAGAAACACGTAAGAAAATACGGGACAATTTCAAATCTGAAGAGGTATGTTTTGTTTGAAGACTAAATTAATTATGCCGCTGAAACAACTTTGGTATAATAAATCGTTTTTCTGATTCAATTATGTCTTGACAGGTAGCATCGAAGCTTGGCGTATCGGAGCCTTCCTCGCAAGAGGATTTGAGGAGTTTTTCTGTAAGTATATACTTTTGTCTTTGATTACATTAAGTACAACATTGCTTGCTGCATATTATCATTAATCAATGTTTCTTAAAATATTGCAGGAACCATTGTCCGCATCTGCAGATTATGATCCTTCTGTTGCGAATTCGGGGCTGACACCGTCGAAGAGAAGAATAACCGATGTAGCAGAAGATGTTGAAAGTGTTCAACTTTCCTCAACAAAGATGACAAAACCAATCAAGGAGGAAAAATTGATATAAAGATGGAACACAAACTGCTGTTTATTAAGCTTTAGTTTATCATGGAAACAACTTAATTTTATTATGCTAAGTATTAGTTTTGGTTTATTTTATGTTTTAAAACAATTGCATTGTTTCCTATTACTTTCGTTGTTTGGGTACAATAGAAACATGTTCATATAAACATGCTTTCGCATAATTGTTTGAGCTTTGTGTCTTTCTTTTAATATATCATTCCTACTACCATTTAGTTTCATCCACGTTAAATGTTTCTGAAATTTTGCAACATTTCCACCAATGCTGCACTTCCCGAGCCAGCACTGCTCGAAGCCTACGCCTATTAAAAAGTTTTCCATTTCTTGCCTTAGAAATGCTCCATATACAGGCAAACCATACCACTTCTATTCGATGCGAGTAGACTCTGGCTACCAGTTCAACAAACTGGTCCAAATGTCTTGCACTGTCGTTTTTTAAATATTCACCACACCAACCAAAATTAACACTCAGTGGCATACAATATTAAAAGTAGAAAATTTGAATGTTGGACAAAACCATTATCTCAGCTTGAAATTCAGGAAGTCCTTAACCTGATCCTGGCTCACTTCTTTTCACTGCCACATTCATTCCATTCCTGAGAAACCCTTTATAAACAACTCCAAAACCACCCTTTCCAATTATCCACTTCGCATCAAAATTAAAGATCAAGCAAGGAGATTTTAAATCCAAGATTTTAAAACCACCCTTTAATTCGAGTATGTGTGAGGCTTTTAGTTGAATCATGTGTGAGTCTTAAGCTTAGCATGTTCCACATAACCTCCACATCTTTGTAACCACACATTTCCGCTTCATCTCGAAGATTCAACAACCCGCCAATGGCTCCGCCCATTTTATCTCGAAGATTCAACAACCCGCCAACTGACAAAATTGTAACCGCACATTTCCAATATCAGTTAAAATGATACGTTTAATTTGATTTTGGAGTGAGATACAATCAATATGGTATGGCTATATCAAAAAACGTTTCAAGCCTATCAAATGCATGCTTGAGTAGTTACTATTCATGATGCACTTCATTTTCGGTTTCCAAAGTGAAACTATAATGATTTTTTTTTACCATTGCTTTTCTTTTCAATTCAAGATTAATTGGCAGAATGGTTAGAATCTGGAAAGTTACCTTTTCTTATTGGTACTTGATTGTCCATAATTATAACATTTTTAATTAAATTTTGAAATAACACTTAACACTATTTAACGCTATTATTATTATTAATTATTATTATTAATAATTAAAATGGTTCACAAAAATAATCACTTGGTATTCTGTTGACTTCAGTATTTTACTTCAAAATCTTGGAACCGTGAATGTTGTATTAACAATTATATTTATTCTCATATAACCAAAAACTTTATTCATTTTATGTCTACAACATTTTATGTGGTTAACAAAAAAAAATTGAATGACAACCATACAATCAAAGTGATTTTCTACCCATTCATTTTTGCATCACCTAACCAACACTATGGAACCACAAGTTGCAGCAATGGCAAGACGTAAAAGGAAGCAGATTCTTAAAGATAAAAGATTGTAAAAAGGAAGAACTGATGAAAACACAATCAATCCCATTGAAAACTCTCAAAGGTATTATGTTCCAACCATGGTTAATATCAGAACACCACTATCTGATTTAACTTCATCAATCTTTAATGAAAGAAATATGAGTTCACCTTCACCAGCATCTGCATCAAGCAACTCAAGTACAATGAAGAGTTTCAATATTGTTTCTACAAATCAACTGGCTGCTTCAGCACGACAGCGGAGGAAAAGTATTATGGAAGGTAAGATGCCCCAATCTTACAAACTTCATAACAACCTTAGCAATAACAGTGGGGGTCCTTTCAGGATAAATTCTCCATCCTTTTCGCATTTCAAAACACCATTTTCTGATATAGCTTCCTCATGTTCTAACCAAAGAAACATAAAACCTCATGCACCGCCAAGTTGTTCTATTCAAAAATCAAAAAAGCAGTTGACTGTTACACCTCTTTCTGATATAACTTCCTCATTTTCTAATCAAAGAAATATGGAACCTCATGAACATCCAAGTAGTTATGTTCATAAATCAAAAAAACAGTTGAATGTAGGTGTTATTCAATCCATGACGGTCAAACTCTTCAATTATTTTGGAAATGAGAATCATAATCTGGCTTTTTCATCCACAAGCAATATTCTTATACAAGAACCCACAACATTCACTTCAACTCCAGATGTTAACATTGAGAGTGATTACTCTGGTGATGAGACGGTAACAGATGATTCTCTCAGTGATAGCTCATGTGAATTCAATGCCGCAGATGCAAATTATGACTCAAGTTCCAGCTATGATGACGAAGATGTCTATGACTCCAATTCTACATCATTTGATTCTTTAAATATTGGTATTTATCATTAAAACCAACTTTATTTCTTCTTTAAATTCATTATACATATCAATTTGACGTTGTCCATTACATGTTGCACTTTGATACCTGCTATGATTTAATGTGGATTTTAGTTATAATTTTATTATTTAATATGAACGATTTTAGTTATAATTTTATTATTTAATATAAACCAATTGCTCAACTACGTTTCATTTAAATAGGTTATTCTGATATTGGTGATCCTATAGTTGAATGCACACAATGTGGGGCACTTATGTGGTATCAAGAAAAAACTGACAAGCGAAAACATAGTGCAATTCCTAAATTTCAACTATGTTGTGGAAAGGGGAAAGTTGTGTTGCCACTTCTGAAAACACCACCACTATTACTACGACGTCTTTTGTTTGATAATAGTGAGATAGACAGTCGAAATTATCAACAATTTTGTAGAATGTACAACATGATGTTTGCTTTTACGTCTCCGGGAATGAAATTCGACAACAGATTTTTAGCTGGAAGTGGACCACCTAACATAAGAATTCATGGACAGACTTGCCATCGAATTGGGAGCATGTTACCTTTAACTGGACAATCTCCAAAATTTGCTCAAATGTATGTTTACGACACCGACAATGAGATTCAACATAGAATTAAAGGAATTGGGTAATTTTACC